CTGGTTTTGAACTCCTGACCTTGAGCAATCCGCCCGCCTCGGCCTCCCAAGAGCTAGGATTACAGGCGTGAGCCACAGCGCCCGGCCTCAAAGTAGATATTTTAATTTCCATTTTATGGATGAGAAAAACTGAGGCTCAAGAGTCTAATGACATGCTTGACAGAGGCCTCCCACCTACCCAATGGCAATGCCAGTATCCAAACTCAAGTTGCTAAAGACCGTATGTTTCTGCAACAGAAACAGAAATAATATAGTTATTTCTGAATTACAAAAAAGCACCATTTTTTCCTAAGTACTAGGTCCTTCACTTTTATATTATTTTTCAGAAGAGGGACACACTATTCAACAATATTTGATGAGTATTTACTCTGAGGAAATGTTATAAGAAATCCTTGACTGAGTGCCCATTTCCTGGTTAAGGCTGAAGAAACGATGGCCACTGACTGCTAATGGCTTGCAGCTTATTGCTTCTGCTGCTAAAGAGGACTCATGTCAAGCTCTCTCCGTTCCAGGTGGAAAAATCTCAGGAAAAGACTGATTGGGTCAGCAGGGGTCAGGTACTCTGCCTCCAGACCAACCAGCTGTGGACCAGCATGGCGAAGTCATGTAAGAACACCAAAGTTCTCACAATAGCCATGTGGATTTGGGTGGGATGTGGGGGCAGGTGTGGGAGGTGGGAAAGCAGGAATCTGGGTGCCTGGTGTTGTCAGCCTGCAACAACGGATGCCATTAGAAACAGCCTTTGAGAAATGTATTACTGTGTCTCTGGATTAGTTTACTCAGGCTGCCATAACAGACTGGGTGGCTTAAGGCTAGAAGCCCAAGATCAAGGTGTGAGGGGAGTCCTCTCTCCTTGGTTGCTTCTTGTCTTCATGTGGTCTCTGTGTCTGTGTCCTAATATCTGTTTCTTATAAGGAAACCAGTCATATTGAATTAGGGTCTGCTCTCATGATCTCATTTTTAACTTAGTTACCTCTTTAAAGACCCTGTCTCCAAATATAATTACATTTTGAGGCACTGGAGTTAGGACTTCAGCATATAAATTTGGGGAAGGTGGTGGGATGGCAGGGGTCACAATTTAGCGGCCAGCCCATAACAGTCTCCAATAAGAATATTATTGCAGATGTTCCTTACTGTCTTCTTTAAAGTCTTTCTGACCTGAGTATCAGAAAGCGTTGTGTGGCTTCTTTTTAGATTATTTCCACTATGGCTTGCCCAAATGGTCATAGTTTTCCTTTCTTCCTGGCTTTTCTGAGGCTCATTTGCTGATGTGAGACCCATTTGGAGCAAATGCATAGGACTTCGTGGTATGAATTTCTGTGAAGTCCTATTTTATAGCTGATATTATATGTTACTAACTTGTGTTTCTTTTTTCTTCCTTACCCCTTTGTAATTTGTGTTATCTTGTCTGGTGTGAGTATTTGAATATTCTGTATGCATCCTTTATGGAATAAAGTGTAGTATCGATGGATTGATAGATAAACTCTAATTCATCAACTATAGTTATACAAGTAGAACATCAAGGAAAAGCAGAGGAAACTTGCATGTTAATAATAAATGACCTTTGTAAGAAGTCACCTCAAATCTTTTTTTGGAAAGAAGTAGCAGAACCTGTAAAAGACTATATAAATCAGTAAAAAACAAGCCATGTCACAAAACATTTTTTAAAAAAAATCCAACAGTAACTAGGCAAAGCAATGCTTAAATTAGTACAAACTGGTAAAAAATAAGCATCCCTAAATTGATTTTTCTATATATTTGCCTGGAGGCAGACAAAGTGTAGGAGGAATTGGATTATTGCCAGACCTAAGGCATTTTTCTGAGCTCCATCAACTTCTATTAATGGGCAGTGACGCCATTCTGGCCCCAAGCCAGCCGCCCAGTGCACTTTGATTTGTTCGACAGGCTGGCTGGAGCAGGCATTGCATCAGAAACCTGGCACCACACACAGCACTGATTTAAGCAGAGCACCTCCACAGAGAACTGACTTCCTGTGACACCAGCAGAGAGCATGTGGCTTCTGCCCCAGGGTGTGTGTG